AAAGCCGCTCCTGTGCAAAGTTTACAGCGATGCGTTATCCCGGCTACGCGTTTCCCGACACATGTGTGTGCGTGTGTGTATGTGTGGCTACGGGAAACAACCGACGCTTCTGGATTCGCGATGACATCCTTCTTTATGGTAGCCGTCTGTGCGGATCGGCCGTGTCCAACGTTCTCAGCAAATAGCCCACGTCTTGGCCGGGAAAATCCTTCCTCGCCGAAGACGAAGAAATACGAGCGGAGACACGAGAGATGTCCCTTTCACTTTTGTTTCAGTCCGTAAAGACGATTCGCAAACGCGTGCAATTTTCTTTTTTATGAAATATATATACATACACACACACACATAATCTTCTTGCGCGCGAACAAGTTAATAAGCATACTTGACACTTTCGTTAAGTCTTCTTGAAACTTTTAGGTTGGGCAAATATTAATTTTCACTGCGCTAACGGCCATTCAACTCGGTTCCCACGATGACAATCAAAGAGACGTAAGGGCTTCAAGCAAGAGTTTGTAAAATTAAATTCAGCTCGCCGAAACGATAAAGACGAGTCATTATCACCGATAATAGTCATCGACCGTAATTTCCGATGGCAATCAAATATCCAATATACTAGAACATTTTACATTCGCGCGAGTAATGAATGGAGGAACATAGATAAATGTTGAAAGTACCGTATGCGACAATAATTAATCATTTCCGCCCAATTTATAAAGACACATATAATCCAACACGATCATTGTCGCCTTTGTAACGCGTCGTTCGCTCATTTATGTATGACACTAATTACGTAGATAATGCGAGCCGCCGCCTGTCTGTCGGTCCGAATAAAAATTAGAGTGCATTTTTCTCACGATTTTTATCCGGAAAGCAAAACGGCGAGGCATATGTCGTAAATCATCGGCCTGAGACTTCTTTTACGATCGAATCCACGACAGCGACATTACGGGTCAAATTTAACAGCGTATGTATATACGAAAACGGTAAACCGTAAGACGATCAATTTTTCCTTCGTCAAATATAAAATATTTCAATGAGGTAAGATGGTAAACGACTGTCAAGTCTGTTCGTCTTAGGGGGATGTCCGTGCGTGACGTCAATCGGAGAGATAGCTGAGATAAACAGAAAAATGAAAGGCGCGGAAGAACGTAAGGCTCGGGGGAGCCTCTGCAGTAAGAATTTGCATAAACAAACGTCATCGTCCACTGCGTTTCGAATCTTTGCGGCGACCGGAATTGACGTTATTTATTCTTTCTCTCTCTATCTATATAGCTATCTATCTCTATCTCTATCTCTATCTCTATCTCTCTATCTCTTTTTTTTTGAACTAAATGGCATCCGAGAATTTCAACCGAGCAAGAGACGTCAGTGTCGTTTAACTGACGCAGCTGTTTTCTCTCTTTTCTCGTACATCTCCTTTTTCTGCGCGGACATACTCCGAACAATTCGCTTGATCGTTCATCTTTTCTCAAGAGAACATTTCGACAGTAGAAGAAAAAGTCGAAAGGTCCTCTATTATTACGCCACTTGTTATATCACCCTTTTTGAATAGTTATGCAAAGCCGAACGATCGAATTTTATTCTGAAATTATTCATCGAAGATATTGACTGAATTGACTGAATTGTACGCAAAAGAAATTTTATACTTTGAATGATTCGCAGACTGTTTGACAAAATAGCTGCGAATTACAATAGTTTATACCCGCGATGAATATAACCCGCGATGAATATAACAGCCTTGAGGAAAAAAAACGAGATTACATTTGATGCTATTTGGTATTGAAATAGGTATTGGAACGTTTTTGATAAGCAGTGGTATAATTTAATAGCATCAATTCTAATTAGCTAAAGTTTAAAAAAAAAAGAGGTAACTCGGGGAAAGAAAACTCGAATGAAAGAAACGGTGGGCGGAAGTCGTGAATGGACTTCACCGGTCTTATCGTTGTAATAGAAAGAATAACGTCGAACTCGATAGAAGCAGCCGGGCTGCAATAAACGAATTTCAATCTAGCGGCCTTTGTTTCGCGAATCAAGGAAGTGCCGAGGCTTTTCGTACTTCTCAAAGATAAGAACCGCGATTCAATGGTAGATGAGAAAAAGCGATAGGAGAGGGATGGCCGGAATGTGGGAGGGAAACGGAAAGCGGCAAAAGTCAGAAGAAACAGTTCTCTCAATCCGCTTTTCATTGAGCACGCCGATTCTACTACGCTTCTAATTACATTACAAATACAAAGCCGGTCGGCTTTATTGAGTGAAAAAGTAAAATAAGTGAATATCCTGTATTCCCCTCTGACGAGGAGTAACTTAAAACACAAGCTTGAAAAAAAATATATATATGTATGAAAAATTAAATAAAATGAAAATATATATATGTCGCAGGGATTTCATGTAATTCGTTTTTCTGCAAAATTCCTAGAAAATCCACAAAAAACTGGAATTGTGGAATGAATAAAAATTACGCAATCTTACTAATGATTTTACAAAATCCTGGTTCTGTCAGTGAAATTGTGAATTGAAATTCTTACTTAATTTATATTTATAAATGATTTATAAATTATGTTTATAAATATAAATATAAAAAATTACATAAATTTATATTTATATTTATATTAATAATTTTTATTCAGTACAATATCCCGGTTTTTTGTGGATACTCTGGGAATTTTGCAAAAAAATAAACAAATTACACAAAGCCCCTGTGACAGATATATATAATATATCTTAGAATGCATTATATATAGTGATTAATTAGGAATATTAGATCTGGCGATTAAATAACTTTCTCGATTAAAGATTTGTAGCTTCATTGAGACAGCGACTATTTATCAAAGTAGATATTCATATATGTAGAGAATATAAATATTAAACATAAGTATTTTGTTAAACACTTTCAGTGTCTTAATATAATCCAAATTATTTTCTATGCATTGCATTAAATAATATGGCGAAATAGTGCACGGAATGGTGCCACGGCCGTCACAGGAATAAACAATTAATTATGCAAGTGACAAATAAATGAATAATAAATTACTTACCCCCACGTCGCTCCGCTGGCCGCCCGATGCCACCCTGACCTCCTCCTCCTCTCTAGTTCCACAGTCGTTGTTTCTTCAGGCGTTGTTTCCACATAATTAGTCACTCGTAAAGAAAAGGGTTAGACGCGCAGTTATGTCACTGATTACCGGAATACGTTGTCCGTGCGACAGTAAGCATGGCACTCTCGACGTTAATAGTGCGTGGCGCGTACTTTATTACTTATAGCAACGAAAGAATGCTCTGTATTAGAAAGAATATCGCGAAGGAACCACGATTTTAGCACTAATAAACTACGATCCGTCCGACGTGTCCCGTAACGCGACGCAAAGTGGCGCAGCGAATGAATCTCTAATGGCGGCAGGCGGACGGTATTTGAGCAACTTCACGCTGCACTCGTTCATAGGGGCATTTTGGCGCATCTTCAAATAACAGTTACATGTTTCGAGACGATCACGCCATGTTGATACAAACGATCGATAATACGAGAAAATACGAAATAAAATTAGATGAACATCCGTAGAATGCGAGTTATTTAATCGCAAGATCTAATATTATTACGTTAGATTTTGACCAAGAATCTATATCATAAATGTCGGGTTCTCGCGGCGGACAAATACGATTAACTTCCACGATTGACGACTCGTAGATGTATATTGAGATTAGATTTACTACTTTATTTATCGAAACAAGTATTTTGCGCGATTCGTCCGAAATAGCGAACAGATATGTATTCGTATGTAAATTATTATTTTCCTCTTTTAAAACACTTATACTGTTTTAAGGCTGCTGTTTCATGTGTCGTACGACAAAATTTTCAAGCGTATTATTGATTGGCTAATTTCTAGAGACTTGAGAACTTTTCTGTCCTGTAACCAATCAACGGGCTTGAAAAATTTGTCGTCCGACAAATGAAATAGTTCCCTCTTAACGTAATTTTACGCGTCCGAAATAACGAAAAGATATTTGTTTATAAATTATTATTTTTCTCTTTTAAAATACGAGTGCACACGAGTATACTCTCTTCTCTTTCCATCTCAGCGAGTTAGAAGAGGAGAAGGGAGTATACCCGTGTACCCGGGTGACGTTACCGAACGCAGCCAAAGAAGCTTGGATACACTCACGTCGCAAATTTCAAACTTTCCATCGCGCCGGTCTGAACGTTATAATTACCGAATCGGAGCGCGGAGTAATACGCGAATCAAGTAACGGGAGCAACGAACAGCCGTGAAATATCAATCGTTTATGAATAATACGTTATGTGTGCCTCGAGGATTTGTGCGTTCGAAAATCCTATAATCCGTACAATTTTTAGACGCCACTTTCCATCGGCAACGAACAACCGTTAATTTGACTCGCGTAGCGTCGCGCGGCACGGCACTAAGGTGTCGCCGGCGGGGTGGGGCGGCGGGCGGCGAGCGGCGAGTCACTCTGCGTCTGTTGGCTGTGGGGGGTGAGTCGGGTGAATCGCGCACGTTGTAGATCGATGGTTGAGAGGTACGCTTAATTAATAAGCACAATCGCAATGAATCACGATGTCTATCGACCGCAGAGAACGATCGGCAGGAATTCGTCGCTTGTGTGGAAGCTCGTCGAGACTCCGTGCACCTCGCGCGAGTCGTTCAACCAAAATCTGTCGCGCGATTTATCGGCAAATAGACGACGACCGTGTTTCTCAGGCATCGCATTCCGCGGATATCTGTCCCACCGTAACTCGCATTCGTGTCAGGTTAAGGCGAGACAGAATAATCTCGTAAGAAGCAGTGACTTGGTTTCATGACCAAGCGCGTCGCGTATTCGTGTTACCCGAAGCGCGGAAAGTGCGCGAAAGTACCGTACGCGAAGGTGCGCGAAGGTGCACGAGTGTCTCGAACGAGTGTAGCTCTCCGCGGCTGGTAACAGTGGTGTCGTGTATCGTGTGAATTGGCATGAATGGCGTGCATTCGTTTATCGCGGTAATTCGCGAGATAGCCATGGGCGTTTGGCGGATCGTGACTTGTTAGGGCGATCTGACAGTTCCTTCTCGTTGTCTCGTCGCGACGTAATAGCGGGAGTGCCGCGTAAAGTAGTGTCGGGCGATCTCGTTGTAGGTATCTTTCGGTGATCGATGCGCGAGCGATCGTAACCTTTCCTTCCGCGAGTGTGAATCCGTGTGCCTGGAGCAACGACATGGCGTAGCGGGGGAGGAGGAGAGGCGGCCCGGAGAGGCATCGGGCAACGGCGGAGCAACCCCGAGGTGAGCGATTTTTCTACTTACCTGTTATTATTTGCCCGTTGTTCATTATAATTAATTGTGGCCGTGTGCTGTAATTCGGATACCGCTTTGCTGCGTAACGTAAGATATTTTTTTATTATTTGAAAACAAGATATAATTTCGCTGAATTCATACTTGGATACCGAATGCAACAATTGATTCTTATGCACGAATAAACGAATCGTCGGAAATGGAACTCGCCGAAATTATACACGAGTTGTTTCGACTTTTGTTTTAAAATACTTTAGATATTTAATTGTTGTTCAGAAGCGGACTAATTTTTGCAATTTACTTTTTATAAATTTTTAAATTTTCATATCGGAGTATGTAATTAGCTTCTAATTTCATTATTGTTATTTTTTGAGATATTAACTATTTCGGGCGTTGCTATAATGTATGAATATGTTTTTATTTTACAGATCAACGTTCCTGTTATAACTCCGCTGCTGCGCATCGTTTGGTGAGTGTCAAATTATCTTTTATTCTAGATCGAAATTTTTTTTAATATTATTGGGATTATACGCAGAATATTAAAATCAGACTAATAGACGTGTGAATTATCAATTGCTGGGAAAGGAGGGAGTGAAAAAAATGTCAAGTATCATTGGTAAATATGAGAGTGGAAAAAAAACAGCCCCAGACAATGTATGAGATCTGTGGTTGAGCTACTCGCCGAATTTTAAGTACCCTCGTGCCGGACTTGTCGCGTCGAGCTTTAAATGCGGTTGAACATTCCATAAAACATGGCACTCGTCATGGTTAGAGCACGCTCTAAAATCTCTATGCAGTCGGAATACTCTACTGTCAGAGTCACATTATTTATGCGAAACCTCTTCGCCCGATGGTCGTTTCTTCGCTATTTATTGGTCCTCGAGAATGTTCGCGTATTACCAAGTTCAGAATCGAGTCCGACTGCGTCGAATAGCTTCTTAACTCGACATGTAGGTAGTTACGAGCGAAGATATCATCTAGTAATAAGTAATAATTTCCGGAATACGCCTATTTTTTCAAATAAATATTAGTTAAATTAATATCAAAATGTGTAATAATGTATAACAATATTAATCGTAGTAAAAAATTACTTCAATTTGATTATTCTCATATTAGCTTAGAAAATAGCAATAAAATAGTAAAAGCAGCCCGACGAATTTAGATTTTTTTTTAATTAAAAAAAATGTAAATCTGCATAATCCACATACATAGAAATTACTAGGACGATTCTTTAAATCAGTCAAAGTAATTTCAGCGTCAAAGTAATTTCAAAGTAATTTTGAGCTTTTTATCACCGTTAGAGAATGCAAAATTGCTTTCAATATATTAACGAAAAGATTGCCGCGTGTCAGCTGTCTGCAGTTCATGCGATAAAAGTTTTTCGTTTCGAAATTCCCTCTGTGTGTGTTTTTGGGGGAGCCGGTATTGCGCGCATCAATATTTCAGATAGAGGTGCTACTCGTTGCGCTTGGAATTCTCACGTCCGACACGTCGGTGAAACGAAAACCGGCGACGCTAATTAATTCAACCGCCAAATGAATTCAAATCGAAATGATGGGCACTCCTGTTTGCGCTGACGATCCGTCCGGTGACAAGAATGTTTTAATTACGCGCGCTGCACACCACGGCTGACACACAAGCCGAGTCCAGGTTAATGCGGTAATTCACATGCACTTTGACTGTATTCGGCAAACATCGAGCCAAACTCGACAAGCCGGCTTCGATGTCACAGACCACCCTTTCGTACCACCCATCCTTCCCGTACGCCAGCTTGTATATCGCGCGTTTCCCCAAGCTGAAATATTCGATACTCGACTGCACGTTTACAAGCTCGATTTCGACGGAAAAATACACTTTGCTCCGCGCGTTCTTGGAGGGTGAAATATTAATGAAATCTTGGTGCCGTATTTCGACAATGAAAAATGAGAAGCGTGCGAAGGAAGATCTCGCAATGGTTTTGGTTTGAAACCTTTAGATGAATTCGGAGTTCATTCGTTAATCGTCGAATTTATGTACGACAAATTTATCGTCGTATACGTGATATCTATAAAATTAATCGCGGTAGGTATTTTTAATTATTAAAAAATCATTTATATAACATTTTCCGCAAAACATAACATTCATTCACAGTATCAGTGATGTGACGATGAAATCACTTTACTCGGTCAATCATCGTCAACGTCACGGCCTCGGATGGCAGCGATGCGTTCGCTAAAGTAACCGGTCGTCACATACTCCCTTCGCATACTTTCATTTTCCGCGTCTGCCGCGCCCAACAGCCCTCGCTGCTCTTTTCAGTTTAGTCGTGTTTCATTACTCCTCATTAGTCTTCCCGTGTGGTACTTCGTTCTCTTTCGTGTTGCACGCGGTCTCCCGGAAAAGCTTGCCTTGGCTTTGCGAGGGCAAAACATGGCGGGCACTTCAGCGGCACTTTAGTGGTGCGACTGAAGGCCCGGTCTTTCACACTTCCGAAATCAGTCGGTAGACCAGGCGTCGGCAAATAAACGTCTGTGAGTGGCGGGGACAAATTATGTTTGTCCAGCATTTAACGTTTTGCTAACACACGCGCGACGGCGAGTCAACCGGTACGTTCGATTTTGTCGACGGGTGACATTGTGTAACGAGCCTTTGTCCGCTAAATGCGCGTGATGATTGTCGTTTGACAGTTCATTATTTTGATATTGTGTAGTTTTTTGCTTGTTAGAGAGAGAGAGAGAGAGAGAGAGAGAGAGAGAGAGAGGGAGAGTAACGGTTAACATATTTAGATAATTGTATCGAAGGCAAAACTGTACCAATCGCCAAAAAATTGTAGACTGCGAATAGCATGACGTAATAACGAGATATTATCTTTCCATAAATACACATACATATAAGTGTACACTTGACAAGTATATTAGGCATATCAAGCATGTCTTTCAACTGATGTTATTAATAATTATAATTTTGATCTTCAAAGAATATTATAATACTAAATTTAAATTTGAAACATAAATAGAACTATGGATTTGGATGTCGAGAAAAACAAATGAAAAGGCGCGTGTAACAAGTCACCCTTGGGAAAAATATATGTTTGCTTCCATCGCAAACTGTTGCTGCCGCTTTTGCTTGTACAAATGCAAATGTCACGTTCAGACCACGGCTCATCTCAAACAGTATAACTGAGAGGACACTCCATTATGTTGGCAGGATTTTGCAAAGAGACCAGAGTGTACCATTGCTTTTATTGCTTCAAGAAAAGCACTTGAAAGGGGGGTCGTGGATAATCATTTCAATGCGTTTACATGTATTCACGTGCATTTTGATATCCAAATTGTTATTCACAGAAATTTTATATGCTATATTCCACACGAGAATAAATTTCTGATATTATTTATTATATTATTATTGAAAAAGATCAAAATCGCTATAAAATACTAAAAATTTTGTCATAATTTAGTTGAATGTATTTATATATGAACGAGTTATTGTAATTAAATGAAAGAGTTTGCGAAAATCAATGAAACAATTTTACTTCAATTTGGAAAATGTAGTAACTGGTTTTAACAAAATGCATCTAAGCAAACGCATCAGCAGAGAATGCGATAGAATATGACGTAAAAAGTATACAATGTAACATTGGCAGGCGCGAGAAACTTCTAGGTTGTTTTGTTTGCCAAAGAAAACGCGTTTTGTGCATACATTCTTGTCAGATACTGACTTAAAAGAACAAGAATTCACGTATAAATCTAAATTAACTTATTTAACACGTGTGAGAGATAGTTTTAATATCTCGCATTATAACGTTTATATGTGTAGACTGTAGACCAAATATAATACTTGTCAGTTCTAAATATACATACATTTGACAATCTAGTTCATAAAATAGAAAACATATTCGATTAGAAATTATCACTTCTAACGTCGCAAGTTAAAATTTCAAACAGAATATAATCTATCTCAGCGAATCATTGATCGCTCAATTCTCAAATTTATGATATCTAATTATTATTTTAAGATCATATTTTTTGGAAGGTGCATGAAAGATATAATTTATCTAATAGATATATAATGCGAAGGAGAGCATACGGTTGATAAAAACGTTATTTGGACTTGGTTGTGGTGCGGAGTCGCGGAGTCAGTGTGCTAAAAGTATTGTCGTATAAACAGGCCGCGCGTAAAAACCGCTTGTATTCGTTCAGCAGACCCAACATTTCCTTTCTTCTTTCTCTCCACGTCTTTTTCTCTTCGCATCTCTGTCTAACGTTCGCTTAGCTTTTCTTCTTCCCCGTTATAGAGAGATCCGCGGTCTTTATAGACAGCTGCACTCACCTCGAGGCGGGGCAGGGGTTAAGTAAACACTCTTTACAATCTCACCCCCACAGCGCACTTCAGTCCCGTCCCTTTTTCTATGTCGGCACCATCTCTATCGGCGTCCCTCTCGATCCTTTAGCCGCTTTTCTCTCGCCCTTTCTCTCTCACGGCCGTTGCGGAACGCTGAAAGTTGACGCGACCCTCTCATTAACCACCATATTGGCTTTCGTTGTCAACGCTTTCTTGCGCCATGTCGCCCGCGTTCGTTCCTTCCGTCGCGGCTTCGAACTTCAGCTTCGCGTTCGCTCGATAAATGGAAGAACCGGGCCCGCACACCGCGCTTGTTCTTCGCCGACGTGCTATCGTCGAAGTGCTTCTCAATGAGTTTCTCCCGAGTTCCCTCTATCGACGGGATTGATCGTCTCCTTCCCTATTCGCGTAGCCTCAAGATGCATGTACACCGGATTCACCAACGTGTGAGCACTTGAACTTGATATCTCGTCGGTGGCCTTTGCCGATCATTGTCAAAGCGCAGGTGAAATCTAAACACTTTAATCATAGAACGAGCGTAAAGATTACACACACCACACCCAAGTGCAGAGAAAATTTTGAGTTGTGCTTGTTTATTTTGGTCATATTACATAAGAGTCATTACTGAAACTTATATGTTTATATTATTTCGGTAAATCTGTATTTTTAATTATTTTTATTAATGTTATATATTTATACGGATATAATTACATGAATAAGGAATATTAAATCTTAAACGCGCGTGCTTGAGATAATCGCGCCAAGTGATTAGTAGGTAGAGGTATCTGTAGTAAAATATTTAACATGATAATAAGAAGAATAATGGAAAGAAAATAATATAATACGGATTATTAAATGTATAATTAATAACATCACACCATACAAAGTATTGCAGAAATGTGACGGAAAAAGTAAACAAGTACATTGTAAAAAACCAAAGTGTAAAAATAAGACGATTTATAACAGGAATATAATATAATATATAAATGTATACAGTTCTGTTACAAATTGCACAAATATTACGCCCATTTGTGAAAGAGCAATTTTACTTGCTCTTTCTAGTGTAGAGACAGAATAATGGTTTTAGTGTTTTAGTGTAACCTTATGCGCTGATAATAACGCGATATATAATTGAATGAGAGATTCTAA